TTTTTTTTTTTTTTTTTTTTTCATGAAAAAAATTGTGATGTCACCGATCACTCCGCCACATTTTCGCATTTAGCAACTTGGATTGCCTTCAGTTTGCTTTTACACAGAAAAATGGAGGAATAAACTAGTACTTTGGCGTAGCCTAGGGCGACTTCATGTCCATTATTCCCTCATAGCTCTGTTGGTATTTTTGTAGGATTTGCCAATCGAAGTGGCACCCAAGGACCCTCAAGCCCGCTTCAAGCTTGGAGTCTCATAAATCTTAGACTACAATGTTTGCTTTATTTCTTTCTCTATGCAAGATTGCAAGATTCATTCTTTATGTAAGATTCATTCAGTCGGGATTTGGACAGCCGGGAGTAACACCTTCCCGCCGGATTAAGCATAAACTGCGAACTAATTCTGTCCCGCCAGTTTCGTAGGGCCCCTATGGAAACATGAAGCAAACTCTCAATTTTTGTTGGGCCGATGTGAGACATATGTAATAAATAGCATGATTATGAGCGAGGGAATTCGGACTCTTTCTACAATTGAACGTTTAAATGTAACTCATGAGGACATATCGAGGACTTGGTTGTTTTCGCTAAAACATGAACTGTGTGATTTATGAGGAAACACACTACTAGAACTTAAATGGATATTTGAAGCGAGTTGTCACTTCAGATGCCAGGCGAGTGGTGCTCGTTTGTGAAGATTATTACAGAAATCCGGACACTCTTTTCAAAAGAATAAAGGATGTGAGAGTGTATTTGATGCGTAAATCCATTGGATTTCGCGGTGCAAGCGATCTCAAGAAATTTAGGCCCATGTTTTACAGATTCTTAGAGTCTTTCGTGCGAGACTGCTCCTCGCTGTTGCTTATATCCTGGGCAAGCATGCTGTCAAAAAAAAAAATGAAGGTGAGGCTATCATCGTTTTGGGTCTCAGTTAGGACCTCTGATTCTTCTAGTTCCGACGCAACATTGGTTTCTGTATAACTCTGACGAGTCTGGTGGTCAAACAGGGGAATATACCTTTCACAATTTTTGAAAAAAATGAGACCTAGAATAGCGAAGCATTGTATGACACAAATAGAAAACTCATCACAGCAATATTGTGCCTTCTGATATGGTATATCTGAAGCGATTCAAGATCAGACTCTTATTCTGTACTAGGTCTTTCATGAGCATAATAATGCTTAATATGAGGATGAGCTCATGATATATATAGTAAGCTTTAGCGCACTGGAGTCATTGCACGAAAGGGTTCGAAGTCGGACCAACAATGGTTCTTCAGTTTGACAATGACAAATGCCTACAAACCATTGAATTCCTTTTGAAAAAAAATGAGGGAGTGTTGAACTTCAGTGGACCTAGTGCTAAGGGTTTACAGAGTACCCATTAGTTAACAAGAGTCGTTTCGGCCAAGTCTGAAGCTGAGAGTAAATACAGAACAGATGACGAAATAAGACACCAAAATAAGATGGAACTCCTAACTATATACTTTCTATATTTGCCAGTGCTCTCTAAGAAGATTCTTAACAAAACACTCTTGAGTGATTTCAGGACGTGAAGGAGTAAACCAAGGTAATGAGGGGTATTTTATGTTCTGATAGTCATGGTAATAATGATTGTATCAGCTTTCTGCATGAATACTGCGTCCCATCTAATAATTATAGCTGCGCCAGAACATGACTTTCGTTTTTTCTCCTCTTCTCAGGTTCTACGGCCCATAGCTACGTAATACTAGGTTCAACTAACTCAAAGGGAGGTTGCAGCTCTACGTGGACCCATTTCAAGAGCCAAGAAGGTTTATTTCCTAATTGATGGAAGCCAGGCCAGACCCGGAAAATGTGAGCTGCTCAAGTAGTTGGAAGTGCAGTGTGAATTGACGCCTCACGCGCTGGCTTCAACCTCATCCACGAGCTTTCTGTACTCTTGCTGCTTGTAGCATTGCTCAAGGAAAATCTTGTACTTGGCCGCCAACAATCTGCGGTCGGGATGGCTCTCCGGGCTTGGGATGATGGCCCTTCCTGGGCCCGTGAGCTTCTCCATGGTCTGCCACAACTTATCTCCCTGGTGCTCTGGCTTCTTCTGCTTCTTCGCAGAAGTGGAACTCGTCAATGGTTTGATCCCCATCTTGAACAATTTGTGAGAGAGATCTTTCTGCACCGTCTGGGATGTGTTTTGCTTGGAACCAAAGGACAAGGTTTCGTCCTCATCGGAGTCCGACTCGGAGCCGTCAGACTTGGCAGGCTTTGCGGCGGTCTGGTTAAAGTAGTCCTGCTCCCCTGTGCTCTCACCAAGAGGAGACATGGTGAATTGGTTATGGTGGTTCGCGCTCGTGTAGGCAAAAGCAGCCATGTTCGTCGAAGAAGCAGTTGCCGAGGGCGCGGTGTATGGCGAGTGGGGGGGAGACTGAGCCTTTTGTTTGGAGTCCATGTTGTTCAAGTCGGTCTGGGACTTCAACAACGAGGCTCTTCTGCTGCGGCCCTTGGTGCTGATGTGCTCGTCGACCATTTGCAGGGCAGCAACGGCTCCCAACAACGCAGAGCCAAACACCACGGCAGCGTCGATGTAGCGCGGCACGATGACAGGCAAGCCCGTGCAGTCAGCAAGCAAGCGCATCAACAAGCCGTTGCGGCACTGGCCGCCGCTCATGTACACGCACTTGATGCTGTGGCCGCCCTTCTCCATCTCCTCGACAATCTGGCGGGTCTGCTGGGCAATGAACTCGCACGCGCCAAAGTACTGCAAGGCCAAGTCCTTGACGGACGAGTCCATGGACTGGCCGATGATGGAAGCGCGCATGTGGGGGTCGGCGATGGGCGACCGGTTGCCGTGGAAGTCCCCGTAGAAGAAGATGTGCTTGGCCAAGGCCACCACGGAGCGCGAGCCGTGCTCGGACACCATGTTCTCCAAGACCAAGTTCAAGTAGTCGAACTTGGACAAGTTGGAGGCCTCGGCCAACTGCACCAACTCGCCGTGCGAAGGATGGATGGAGAGCACGTGGGCCAAGAGCGCGCCCGTGCACGACTGGCCGCCCTCGGCCAACCAGTAGCCGGGGCCAAACACCTCTCTGTAGGGGCCCCACACGCCCTTGACGAAGCAGGGCTGCTCGGACATGGCGATGTGGCACGTGGAGGTGCCCGCGACCGCGGCCAAGCGGCCGCAGCCCGAGCTCATGGAGCCGTCGGACTCCTGCAGCAACTCCGGGTGCGAGGGAAGGTCGACCTTGCCGGCCACGGTGCCGATCCAGCCCGCGTAGGCGTCGATGACGCCGCTCCCCACCACGCACTCGGTGGTCAAGCCCAAGTCCTCGGCGGCCTGCGGCGTGAGCTTGCCCACCACGTCGCCGGCGCTCAACCACGTGCCGGTGCGGCCCGGGATGCCGCCCAACTTGGCGAAGTCGTCGGCCACCAACTCGGGCAAGTCGATCTGCCGCAAGAAGTCGCGGGACCAGCCCTCGGTGGAGCCGTCCACGCCGATGGGCACCAAGCCCTGCTTGCACACGGTGGAGTTGTACGAGCGGGCCTCGGAGCCCGTGGCCTTGTGCGTCAAGTAGTCCGGCAAGTCGTAGAACTTCAAGTCGTCCAAGCCGCCCGGGCGGTGGTGCTTCAACCACTTGATCTTGGGCAACTCCATCTCGATGGACATCTGGCCGCCCACGTACTTCAAGGCCTTGTCGCCCGTGGCGTTGATGGCGTTGGTCTCGCTGTCGGCGCGGTGGTCCATCCACAATACGATGTTCTCCTTGCTGTCGGCAAAGTCCGGGCCCACGCCTGCGGGCTGGTCCGTGCTCTGCGCCACGGCCACCAACGAGCACGTGGCGTCGAAGCCTATGCCAAACACCTCCGCGGCGTCCACGCCCGAGTCGCGCAAGCACGTCTTGACGCAGTAGCAGATGGAGTTCCAGATCTCCGTGGAGTTCTGCGTGATGTGGTTGGGCTTCAACTGGTGCCTGGTGATGGGCCGCTCGGCCAAGCCCAAGATGACTCCGTTGGTGTCAATGACACATGCCCGCGCGGACCCCGTGCCCACGTCCACCCCCACGAAGTAGACGTCTGGCTGCGGGGGGTGGGCCAACTGGTGCGAGTTGAAGAAGGACAGTCTGCGCGAGTTCAAGCTCGTGTGCGATCTGTTGTATGCCATTTTGGGGCGTGTTTTTGGCGTGTTTTTGGTGTGTTTGGGTGTGTTTGGGTGTGTTTGGGTGTGTTTGGGTGTGTTTGTGTTTGTTTCTGGATGTGTTTTGGTGTGTTTCGGGACTTCTCTTTAAGATGGGTTGGTAAAAGGCAATAGGATTAGTGGTGCGGATCTGGCGGGCCGCGTGGGTTTATAAAGCGGCCTGGGGCACTGGGGCCGATTGCTGTGCATTGTGCAGGCCGTGGGGCAAATGACGTCGCTGGGCCGGGGCCACGGTGTGCGCACGATAAGGCGCGGGCAGGCTGGTTCTTTTCAGTTGGTTCGAGAATTTATTTTTGCTCGTGTGTTGTGGCTTGGACCGGGCCGCTTGGTGCTGGGGCTGGCGAATTGGTTTCCTGGACCCGGCGACGATGGCTTGGCTTTGGGGTCGGGGGCCTTTGCACGGGCTTCAGCCTATACTGGGGCGCCTGCTGTGTGCACGCCTGGGGCCGGTCATTGCGCCATGTCGCTTGCTGCCCACCTCGCTTGGCCAGCGCACGAAGCTTCTGGAATTCCGTGGACTCCTGCTTTGTCAGACATACCTGTTGTTGGGTCAGTGAGTGGCGGACAGTCGTCAGGGGCTGTTTCTGCTGAGGTATTCTATGTAGGTATATTCTGAAGCGTCAGGGTGGTTTCAGAGGGGTTTTCGGATTTCGGATATTCTCTAATTTCTGAATTTCTGATACGCTCTCGATATTCCTGATACTATTTATTCTCGGACGCTCTCCAGTTTCAAAAGGGTTATCTTGATTTCTGATGCTCTCTGTTCTGGAGCGGTGTCTTTGATTTCTGACTAATTTGTGAAGGGGGTGTGTCTTTGGTTTCTGACACTCTCTAATTTAGGGGGTTGTCTTGAGTTCTGATGCTCTCTAATTTCGGGCTCGCTCTGATTTGAGGGGTTGTCTTGAGTTCTGATGCTCTCTAATTTCCGGCACTCTCTAATTAAAAAGGGTTGCATTTATTCGGACACTTTTTGATTTTGACACTTTTTAATTTCAAAAGAGTTGTCTTCATTTCTGATGATAACTGGTTTTTGCACTCTCTAATCTCAACAGGGCTGTCTCAATTTCTGATAGTCTCTGATACTGACACTCTCTAATTTCAGACGGGTTATTTTCACTTCTGATACTCTCTAATTTCGGGCTCGCTCTGATTTGAGGGGCTGTCTTGATTTCGGATACTGTCTAATTTCCGGCACTCTCTAATTTCAGAAGGGCCGTCTTAATTTCTGATACTCTCTGATTTCGGACACTCTAATTTAAGGAGTGTTCTTGATTTCTTATACTCTCCAATTTCTGAAAGCCCCGGCCCAGGCGACTCCCAGTCTCTGAGGCTTCTCTAGATTTTGCTTTCAGGATTTTTATCAATTTCTGGATGCCCTTGTCTGGGGGTCTTTTCTCCAAATAATTTTCCAATATTGGGCTGTCTACAATTCCTACTCTATTTCTTCTTTAAGAGGCCTTCTGATTTCTGGTGGCTTTCTCCTCTTTAATTAGACTACAATCTCTGGTAACTTCTTTCTCGTAGTCCTGTGGGCCTTCGCCACAGACAGGACAATAAACGGCACCTGAACCATATGGCAGTGCATGTTATCTCAAAATCACACACGAAAACAGGATAATATCTAGCTACGTTGAATTACTCGGCTGGTCTATTCACTGCCAAATCGTGCCGCGTATTGTGCTTTCAGGGCCAAACAGTAGTGGCCATCAGTAATCTCCATAGATATTTCCATGCAACTTTTAGACCACGGGGAAGCTACAGAAAACGCCCAGGACATTTGAAAGCGTGACTCAGAAATATCAGGCTTGCATGGAAAAGAGAACAGAGAGGGAGGACTATGTATGACGCTAAAGACGAGAAGTCTACGGGTGTGTTTCCGTTTATTAAACGCGACATGCCTATTTTTGCGTTACAACTACACTACAAACACCTGTTTAAATTCATAACCGTAAAAAATATTTCCTCGGCTATAACATATAATAAAACAAGCTAGTTTAGAGCCATTACATCATTCTTCCCCCCGTCTCACTGCTTATGGTTTAAAGTCGTCTTTTGCTTCCATTTCATGGGCTGTGGGAATGCGCGGCTCCAATTGAATACATGGCGTAATCCAGCAATGTCGCACACGATAGATTCACCACGAGACTTGTCTCCAAGCCGTTCAGTGTTTTTTGTTAAGAAACATCTCGCATTCACTGAAAGACTTCGCCAAAGGGAGATTGGACGCCTCTTCTGTGGAAGACTGCACTATTATAGGAACTGCGATACACTATAGGGCTCCGGCCGCACGCAGCCAAGCCCACGACAAAAAGCGTGCCCTCCCTTCAGACCTGTTTCCTGCGCCCAACAGAACAAAGTGAAGTACAGGCAGAGGAAGAACAAGCACGAAAGCCCCGATTTTTACCTCGCTGCTCATCAGAAATTTATTTTGCCGTGCACCGCCGCACACGCGGCGTCACCAGGAAGCCGCACGTGACCCAGGCTTGAATGCGATTCAAAATTAGCTATACATTTTCCTATTCTAATATACATATAATACACACCGAGTCGACGCCTCTAGTTTTTCGTGGCCGGGTACTTCAGCACCACATCGACCAAAAAGTCAAACTGCTCTGTCTTCTCCACAGCGGCCCGCACATGGGACGCAGCTATCCGGCGCACACCTGCGCCTTTTGTCTCGAGAATGGCCGCCTCCACCAAATTGGCCATGAAAATCTCAAGGGCTCGGCCGACAACCACAGGCGTCGCCTGCGCTACTTTGCCGATGTCCTCATCAGACTGCATGATTGTTTTTATGCGCGCAGCCGGAAAGTGCGTCTTGATCCGGTCAAAAGAGCTCAATATAGTATCCTGGCTCACGGCCGGGTCGGCCGCCGCATGTGCGGGCTCGTTGGCCTCTTCGCTTTCATCTTTGTAATCCTGGTCTTCTTCTTTCACTGTGTTGTTTCTTTTGCTGGGTGCGATCGGCACTAGGCTTTCTTTGGTCTCCTCCGGCGGGTTGATGAGAGAGTTGATATCTGCCATAGTGGGTCCTCTGGAGCAGTGTGCATAGAGTAAAGGTGTAATCGCGCGGAAACTCATGGGCTTTATATAATCTGTTTTTCCACCAGGCATCGAGAAATGCGTCGCGCTCCGCCTTGTGTACAGGCACACATACGTCCTCACGCTTCATACTAGACGAGACGTGTGCCACTTGCCTGAACCAGTAAACGCAAGAGTCGTCACTGGAGTGGAGCTCGGCAATGGCTTAGCACTTCTGGAGGCAGCCCGCAATTTCTTGCCAACTTTGGACGTTTGCAGCCGGGGGATTGGTGCCCCAGGTACCCGTTTGCATACAAGGGTAATAACTGCCATCGCACCTCTTGTTTCCGCTGGTCTGGATGCACAACGCATATACGGTTTCGCCAAACTCATGAGACACTGGCTCCCAGAATCAAGAGCACTAGTCCCTGGTTCGTGCCGGAGACCACCTTTTGTAGATGACCTCCGTTACCCGGTAATTCTGCATCAACGCCCTGTATTTGGCGGGGGCGTCCAGCATCTGCATCACGTGATCAAACACGGCCTGGGCAGGAATGTCCACGTAGACAAGCACCAACGTCTTCTTGACTCCGCTCACGACCCTTGCTACTGCCATGAAATCCTCCCATGTCGTCCATTCTTCTCCATTGTTGGGAATCACCAAAATGGCATATTCGGCATGCATGAATGGCGGTCCTCTCTTGTAGAGCAACATGTCGCAGCCAAACTTAATTCCACTGCGCACGCACCAGCCCATGCTTCGGAAATGGTGATAAACAGCATAGTCGAGAAGAAATTTGTTTTCAGGCACCATTCTCCGATTCATGCAAAGATCAAAGACCTCGTCCAACAGAATGGCCTTGGAGTCCTTGGAGACCTCGACAACGTTCAACGCAAAATGTAGGAAGAAAAGCTCGATTTTCTGGAGCTGCAAAGTCTCGAGGTTTGCTTTAAGCATCTTGGTCTCTGGGTCAATGAGGCCCAAGTCTTCCTTTCTCGTTGGTGCTTCATGGCCTTGGCCAAATGGGACCTTAAACGAATTGGTGGCTTTCATCTTTTCCATCTCTGCTTTCACCTTTTCCCATTCACTCGCTTCTTCGGACGTTAACTTCCGCTTACGCTCCATGACCTCGAACTCCTGAGATTTGCTCCTAAGTGCCTTGAAAGCTTTCCTATCATCTCTCCTGACATTTGTGACGTCTTCTTTTGTGAAATGACGGTTCCCCGCGCCATTTATATTTAGTCTACGCTCGGTTCTCTGTTCCCACGTAGGATCTGACCTTGACAAGGTTCCCTTCCCAAAAAAACCTTGTTGCCAAAGCCGCTCCATGTCTGGCTTATTCCTGACTTGGAAAACAACATCGGCTCCAACGTCAACTACTTCCACACCAAGTTTGGGCTCGAGAAACTGTGGCGGGGTACTGAAGTATATGCTCGCAACACGATACAAAAGATATAACCAGGACACCGGGTTATGCGCTGTCACTAGGGGGAGCTGGCCGTACTTATCTACCGAGAGCGTGAGAGGGAGAGGTTTACTGTAGATCGCATTGAGCGATCTTCCCTTTCGCTTTTCCATGATTCCGTAGGCCGTGGGGTGGACGCAGCCAAGCTGAATCAAAAGTAAGTAGCCGCCAGGGTTGATCAGGTCTCCATGCGCGCAAATATGATGGTATTTGCGAACTAGATATTCACTCGAATTGAGATTAGTCTTGACGATTGTTAGTACAAAGAAACACCTGCAAAATACGAGGATATTGTTGTTTCGATTCAGATACCGTTGTAGTCTTTTTTGTGGCTTACAGCGATGTTAATCTTCAAGCAACACGTTAACATATTATCATCTTGAAACAAATCCTATAAGATAGAAACATACGATTTCCGCTAAAGAAAGATGTGCTGAGAAAATCTTTTTTGATCGTATTCGGCGCGTGCTTTATGTATAAAGTGCGGGTAACACTAGGGCTCGCAGCATAAATAGAGACACCCATTACGAGCCAAAAAAGAAATGCCGGTCCCAGGAATCGAACTTGGGTCTGCTCGGCCACAACGAGCTCTACTTACCACTATACTAGACCGGCTTCTGTTGAAGAAACGATTGATAGGAAAAATAAATTCAGGGGAACATTTAATATCTTGTACATGATTTGACTCACAATTGGTTTTATGGACGGATAACTTATGCAAATCAGAATTACACGACCAGTTCCCTTGAACTAGAGTCAATATTGCCTTTTTTTCAAATAAACTATTGCCATGGGCTCTTAGAAAAAGTCATTCTATGTGACGATGACATTTAGATGGTTTTATTCGAATTTTCTTTTAAAGAAACATCATTGGATGTCATTGATTATAGACGTGAGTCTTTTTGAGTAGAGTAACTTTCTCTTTGGGGGACTTTGTGAATTGGTGTCGGCGGCTTCTCACCTGTGCCAATATTATACGTCTTTTCTTTATAGATATTCGTTAAAGGTAAAGTCTTACACCCCTCTAGTGACACCCTATCATATGATATATCTTTTTTAAGAAAAGGAGGAGAGTGAATATAGAAGGTCGCAAAATTTCTATACTTTCAGGTTATAGTATAAGACTCTATATCTAGAATAACAAAGATAAACTAAGCCTGCCCATTGAGGCCAAAATAAATCAATCTTGTTTCGAAGAGACAGCCATTAGACTGTTTCATAACAAGTGTGGGAGGGGAAATACATATAAAAAAGACAATGTGGTAGTTTTGGCAAGGGAATGACTTTCCTGAATGTATTCTTGCATTAGCAGTGAACAAATTTATATGGTGTCTAGGATCTGGCATTGTCTTCCATAAAAACCACCAAGGTTCAAATCATGTGAGCTTAATAAGATGTTGGATACAGCTGAAAATTCTTTGGTGAAGTTGTGAAGAGACCAGTCACCACGATTCATGAGGTGGTCACTCATACAAATGGCGAGTCGCAGAAATCAAGTTCCTTCATTCCCTTCACCTGAGTTGAATCAATCACTACGGGAGACATTCCCTAGAGGTCGGGGACATAACCTCAATACTTAAGCAGCGTTGTGCTAAGAGGATACTTGAGAGGAAAAAATATAGCCAGTAAACTGCGCCTCTCAGATCTGGTAAAATAGCCATGCTTTTCCCGCTTTATGGCAATATCTTTATGTCGAACTTAGAATGCTTCAAATACTAGAAGAGTGCTATCAAAGGGACTAGAGAAGTAAGAAGGAGTATAAACCTATCAAATGTCATGCCCTCATAAGTAGGACTCAAACACTTCCACCAATTCTTCCTCCGACAATTGACTCGAGACTGAAGTGTTGACGATTCCATTGACACTTACCGAGGGAGTCACATGCACACCTATAGTCCTCATATACCTTGCGAAGTATTTCATATCAGTGATTGCATCATTTCCTGAATTAGAAGCATCAGGAACATCAGCCTCCTTAATACTCAAGGCACCCAAAATGCCTTCCTTGTCGAGCGGGAAGTCCAAATCTTTCTGGACGACGTCAGAGATTAGTTTGTAAATCTCATTTCTGCCCAATGAGACAGTGGCAGAGTCGTAGAATCTCTCTATGTTGTCAAAAAGAACCTTGGAAGTAGCCCAGAACTTTTCATTTGAAGTCTCTGGGTCGTTTTTACGCAAAGACTCAGCAACCACTAGAGAAAACTCATGGAGCAAGACTGAGTTTGGATGCCATGGCTGGACAACATTGATGAATACGAATTGAAACTTTCCGGGATGCTTTTGATTCAATTTTGGAATCACCTTGAGGAACTTGTAATATATCTTAGCAGAATAAGGACAGTTGTAGTCCAAGAAGAGGTCCACTACATTAAGTGCCTTGTACCTGCTCTCATTTGGCTTGAAGAAAAAATGAGAAAGAGAAAATTTTGGTGACAACATGCTTTTGATATCAATCAGAGGGGGTTGAAAAAGAGAAGACACATATTGAGACATGCGATATGGTGTTGTATTGTGGGACCAGGTTCGTGTTATGAGCCCGTACACTGGACACCGAGATTGCGAAATTAGCACTCAGCCATTGGATGTTCGAAACCTTATATATTCTAAAGGTTGTCATGCTTCTAGGCTGATGACTTACGGAAAGTGATCATGTATGTATTACAATTTGAGATAAGCTCAGATAACTTCAAAGTATTGCATTACTTGGCCTAATGCACGTACTGTCTCCTCATAAATCTGACCCAACATGTCTACTTTTTTAGTGATTATCAGTTCACCGATTTCTTGAAATCACCAAAATTAGTTGACAAGAGAGCCCTCGATCAATGATAACTGGAAAAAGCCAGTGTGTCACATTAAGAAATCAAACCACTATAGTCTGAGTCTATACCGAAGCCGCTAAAATTATTTCCTGCCTCGATAAACTTCTCCCGTATTATTTCAGCGAAGCTTTTGTTGTTCAGAGCCAGCTCTTCACAATTTTTTGACAAGGACAGGGCTCGGATTTGCGACAGTTGTTCCACCAACGATGAAATTGTGTTATCGCTATCAACATCCTGAGAACTATTAACTGCGATTTGAGAGGTCATTGGGTTTCTTTGTTGACTTGCCTGCACGGACTGAGAAGAGTTGGGAATTACAGTATCATGAATTGTAATGTCGTGAAGAAGCTGACTCAGACTGGCGAGGTGTTTCAGGCGCAGGACTAGAGAGTTCCCCGATTCTTCCAGGGAGTCTATGGAAATTATAGATTCTCTTCTGGACGACCCCAGTGATATGCTTATAACTTCGGGATTCTCTGAGTGTCCATGGAATAGTCGCAAGCTAGATTTGAGACAGTCATGATCAACAGAAGCAATGCTAGGGAGCAATTTCTGTGGGTTGCTTTGAGTTGATGTGCTTTGAGATGGTCCCAACAACGTAGTATCTGAAATAGTATGTGCCCCCTGAAGCAAGTTGTCACCGAATGAAGTTTTTATATTGTCAGTGACTGAAAACTCTGAGCCTTCACCATATTCTCGCAGCGCCTGATTTAGGACATTACTGCTACTCCCGCAAAACATAATGGGAGAATACGCTTTTTTGATATGTGTGCCATCAAGGCAGCTCTCTGTTTCATTCTGGCCCTGAGTGGCAGCAAGTAGTTTACGACTTGTTTTGCTCGCAAGAGGTGAAAGGGGGTCTTGGACAGGAGCAAGAGCTTGAGATGATGGAATTGACAGCGACTGCTTGCCGTCGGGAACCTCAACTTCACCAGGCTCCTCCAAATTAGCATCGGAATCGTTAGGTTTCGTCACGCGAGTTTTTTTCTGCTGTCTCCACATCTTTCTTTCTGAACCGGATTTTCTTTTCTTGTTTCGTAATCCCCGTTTACTCTGTCGTTTAGAATTATCATCGGGCGCTGGTGCTTCACTTGAGAGATTATCTTTTACTTGCGACACTTGCTCTGTAGTAGCGCCCTCGACTTTTGATGGGGCCTCGTGCTGAATCTCTTCAGGCGGCGTTGATGTTCTGAGAATTGATGAAGATGAGTGTAAGTTTGGTATTTCTGTTTCCTTTGGAGAAGTTGTTTTCTCATGAGCTGGAAAGGCATTGCTAGCATCTTGGCATGGCTCGTCTTCAAATACCTTTGGGCAAGCATCGTTGTCTTCATTTTCATCCTTGGGTCTTTGAAACGAAGTCTTTGGACTGGTCTGGGCCGTTTCTTCCTCACTACTTTTTCTGACGGCTACATCGGATCTGACTGCAACCTCCTGGTTTATATGGTCAACTTGTTGTGTCGGTGAGGGGAATGTTTCCAACGCTGGCGCATCTTGCTGGCCCCTAACAGAAACATGCTTCTCTCGTCTCATAAAAGCTCTTAATTCCTTAAGGACTTCGTCTGGATCTCGAGTGTCCATCACCCAGTCTTTTTGACATAGCTCGAATTGCTCATTCGCTGCTTCCCGATGTTCATTTATCAAGTCTGCTTCGCAGGCGCGGAAGAGGGAGCTTCCCAGAACAACATACTCTGCCATTGACGAGTCAAAGTCTGATTCACCCGAAGAGCGTTCGTCTGCCTCAGAAGAGGGCACAGGTAGATAAGGCTTTGGCACGGAAGGTTTGGCATGTGTCAGTTTTCCCGACGTATCATTCTTTGGGGAACAATTTGAGGAGTTCAGGATTGAATTTGCTGTTTTCTTCACTGTGGGCTTTCCAGTTACTGCCAGCAGAAGGGTCTGGATATCTGAGTCTGCACCCTCGTCATCAGACTCAGATGAGGGATTGATGATCACATGCTTGGTGTTGCGTTCGAAGGCCTTGAACCTCTTTCGCTTTCTTGGGATTCTTTGCTCATTAAAACTACGCGGTAGCATATAAGGAGATGAAATATCCGCATGTTGCGCTGGAGTCCGAGATTTCTCCAGAGAATGATGTTCTCGCAAAGGAGCAATTTTATTTGCAAAGCCTGGCGATGACGCATCGGCTTCTTCCGGATAAAAGCTTCCTGTGATCTCTATATCTGACTCACTTGCGTCTTCGTACGGCAATTGGTTTTTTTCTTGTTGGGACTCATTGCCTTTGTTATTATTTTTGCGATTGTCAGATGCTTTTCCTCGTAGGCCCACCAGCCGCTTGCCCAAGAAACCTGGTTTTTCATTATTATTGGAAGGCTCCGGTAGCAGCTCTTCTGAAATTCCAATCTTGCTATTCTCCTCGTTGGGCCCCAGCATGAACGGGAGGATTCTATCGACGATACGACGTATCATTCCTGGAAATCCGGGAGAAGCTTCAGAGCTCGGACGAGGGGGAGCCCTATCAATATTTCGCTGATCTAAACCGGCACTAGCTTCTATGGCCATGGCTCGAGTCACATGCACCCAGCCCAAGTGTGAATAACAGCGGAGTTGAGTAATTGGACGGTAGAAATTGCACACTGCGCGAGGAATAATCCGCGTCTGCGAAAAAGGACATCAGTAATAGTGAGGAAGCCTGTGGCATTCTACTGAGTTCTAACGCATTTGTTGCCTAAACTAAGCACGAAGACCCTCAGAAACACCCGAACACACAGTCATTATTATTTTATATGCTAAACCTCACATATCGACCATCCTCTGTATTTTGGACAAGCTCTTTACATATCTACAACCGGTGTCTGTGCCCTCGACTGCAAAGGAAAACGGGCCTCCCTCTTTGGCTATTGATTTTTCTTGAACGAGCCTTCCTGACCACCCTTGCGTGGATCGATGTCATATGCTGACCACTCTCGCTTCTGAACATTGCGTATTAAATTGATCGCGACAGAGCACGCAGAAAGCAGCGCCAGTCGCGCCGGTCGCACTGTCATCACCCAGACAATATCATGACTTTGCATTTATCATAGAGGATCTCCTGGAATCGGTCATCGTCATTCACAGCCAACTGAAACAACTGTTCTCGCTGTTCTGGCTTTAGAATATCCGAGGCGATGTTGTTCGAGTCCAAGAACTCGTCATAGTCGTTCTTCAATAAGAGATGAACCCCGGAGCCCTCATCTGCAGTCTCGAGGTTGAGCCGCTTGATCAATTTTGTTTTCAAGTCTTGCAAATGCAAGTTGACCGGAAGCAAAAGCACAAAGATGTCATCCTCGTAATAGAATTTCACCTTCACTTTGGCCAGCTTCTCCGCCGTCACGTTCGTGACGGCGGTGCTGACGGGATTTGCTAGAAGGTTGTTGGACGAGGTGGATCCCGGCCTGTGCAACAGCGACTCCGTCGAGGGCGTCACTGACGTTCTTTGCACGTTTAGCTGCAGAAAGGAGTACTGGGAATGTCTATCCTGCTGGTAATTGGACTGCCTCATGACTGGCCGCGAAGCTCGTTTGGCCGACTGGTCTTCCACCACTTCCTTATCGAACCCGTTGTCGAGAATGTCAAAGAGGCCCAAAACCTCCTCTGACCGCGATATGTGCACGGGCAACGAGATCAAGTTTCGGAGGTAGTAGTCCAACTTCTCTCTCCTCAACTTGGAGATCGAGTCGTTGACGTTGATCAAGGGCCCTGGGATCGAGGGAATGATCCGGCGCGAGTTCTCGATCTTGCCCGCCTCGTACGGGAAGAGCTCTAGCAACTTGACCTGGAGGTCGTAGAAGTCCTGGTAGAACCTGTACAAGTACCGCGTGCGGCCATTGGAGAGCCGGGCCACCACCAAATATTGGTACCGCCCATGCTCCAAGTGGTACGAGTCGACCGCAGCCTCCGTGACGTACGTGTAAGTCGAGCCGAGGGACGACCTGTTCAGCGAGGCGTCTTCAGGCTGGAAGTACTGCGAGTTAGAAGACACCGCCGGCTGGCTGTTGGAGATGTGGCCCAACGGAATGGTCAGCGCCTCGTATTTCGCGGTCTGGTCCTTCCATTGCTCGACAGTCGGGATGTTGTAGTGGTTGATGACGGCAGCTGCGTCCTCCGAGGCAGGCTGGCCGGCAGAGGAGGAGCCCATCATGTCGATGATTTTCACATAGGTGACGGGCACCAAGCCCGGCCCTCCAAGCCGCGTGATGGGCTTGGCAATGAACCACTCGAAGTCGTGGTGCGCACATATGACCAAGTTCTCGCCCGCAGAGATATTCAACTCGTCGTCCCGCTCGGCCTGGAAGTCGAACAACGTCACTGCATAAAGCATCTGGTTGGCGGGCCGATGGGTGCCCACGTGCTGCAACTTGCCGTTGAGTGGATTGCCCTGCTCGATGTTGTGGTTGTCGTGGCCAGCGCTGTGTTTGGTCTTGCTGAAAACCTCGAAATACGACATTGGCACCATGCCTCGTTGCTGCGTGGCCGGATTGGTGGCCTCGTACCACCCGTTGGCCTCGTTGTTGCCGGCCTGGTCCTGGATCACGTGGAAAAAGTCGCCCTTTTCAAAACGGAGCTCGCCTGGGCCCTGCGGCTTATAGTCGTAGAGTGCCCTTATGGCTTTTTCGGGCGATTTCAACGCCGTACTTAGGTCCTCGGAATGGGCGTGCGTGGACGTGACCCGCGATATCGAATGCTTCGACGAGTTCAGCGAGTTGGACAGCCGCTTGGATTTGCGGAAAGATTTCATCATTTTGGACGTGGCGGGGCTTTTGGTGTTTTCCCCGGCTTCCTTTATTTTGTTGTATGGAAAATGTCTCCGTTTCGGCAGATCACGCGCTGTGGCCGAATGGGACCTGAAATTGTGTTAAGTTTCCGGTGGTATATCGATTCAGGATCCAGATGCGCTGCTATTCTAGGGTTTACGCGTGTGTTTTGCTGCAATTACCAAAGGGACGGATGCGCTAGAGTCGTGAGATTGTCTGTCCCTTGTTGCTCCAGGTGCCTCTGAGTGGAAAAGACATCCTGGTCCAAGAAGCGAGCTGTGGTGCACGGGTGTCTACATGCGGCAACGAAACAGCGAGCAGCCTCCGCCGCCTGCACTCCACGGCGGCCTCCCACTTCGCTGTTTTAAGCCACGTCTAGACGCAGCCTTGGCACATGCTGTCAGTTACCGTGCCCGAGCCTTGGCACTCATCTCTGAAAGATTTCAACGTACACGAACTGACACGCGCACCAAAGCTTACATATATACAGAGCATGCAGCTCCAAAGACACCGGTGAACCATTAAAACAATATCTACAAAGGCGGGTGAATTAACGCAAAGTCGCGATCGTCGTCTCCCGCGCCAACATTTATCTCATGCATCAGTGTCTTCTCGTCATCAACCAGTAATTCCAAACAAGGCACATCTTAATAGGCATCAGGCTGGGTCTCTAAGCATGAATCTGGGTATTAAAGGATCGCACCCGCGTGAAATGTTTCTGCGATTAGGTGTTTTTCGGATGTGTTTATCATGAAATCTTGGCAGTCTAGTCAAACTGAGTTCCACTGGCATTGTCCTCTAAAACAAAACCCTTCAAACTTTCGAAGGGATCTTCAGGCGACTTGAATTCGAAATAGTCATCGCTCGCAGCGTCATCTTCACTTTCAGAATTGTACAAGGGTTTGGACCGCGGAACACGCCGGCGGGGGGCCTTCAACATTAGCTCGTCTTGTTCACTTTGTCTATACTTGGCCAAGTAAATTTTTAGTGTTTCAGCATAATGCTCAAAACCTAGGGCAGACATGGCCCGTAGCACATCCTCTCCATTGAGGGTTTTCCTTTTTTCGAATGCACAATAGTCCAGTGCCTGCGATGTGATGAACGAAATATACTCCGATGCGCACTCTTGCACGCACTGCTTGGCTTCTTTTGATAGCTTGGCCCTCTCTGGCAAAGCTTTCTTCATCACCCTTGTGACATTGGCTATTGGAAGATAGCGGTCTTGCTCCTTGATCTCGTAATCGGAATTTTGCAATTGTGCATCCGTTGGATTTTTGACCTTCATTGTGATCTGCTGAGTCGCTCTGAAGCTTTTGGGATGTGAAGCCTGAGTTTTTTCACAAGCGAGACGCGGAATAGACAAATTTGGCGGGCTTTCTACACGGCTTTCTGGGTGTTCCCCAATTGCACCCAGAGGGAAGCCGCGCGCTTAAGTAAATTTGTGAAATGCGAGTCTCGGACCGTTATCTGTATGCACTCAAAGACAGCTCAAGCACTGGCGTAAGTACTCGCCATATACCGCGCAGTCCTTACGCTCTTCTTTCCAGTAGTCCAATACTAAAAGAGCATGCTCCAATAGTGTCTGGACATCTTCCTTTTTGAATATCAGGCTCAATACTTCAACGCTCTGCGTGTTGTTCGTAGTTTGGTCATAAGCTTTGGACTCTTTCATCAAATTCACAACGTAGTCGCGAGTCCTTCTGTACATCAAAAACAGCAATATGACGCCCAAAACCAAGTTTCGGATATAGTACCAGGAGCCTGGATGTCTATACAGACTCAATTTGGGAATGGTGAGCTTTGGAATGGTAATGAGGCCCGCCACAAACCATTTCAAAACCCTTTTCCTGGCCATATCGTAGTCAGTCTGATAAGATTCCTCCAGCCCATCATTGCTCTCGGCAAGCTCCACTAGGTCACTAAAATCCTCGAGGCCCGATGTCTTGCTTAGGTTCTCGAGATAAGATTGCTGTACCTCACCTTCTTCAAGATCTTCGTCATCATTATCAAGAAAATTCAACATAGCTGCCAGCAGATAGATGGATCTTTCAGACGCCAGTCCCGTGCATGTCGTACTGCTTGAATGGGACATTTCGTCAGGAAACTCATTGAAACTCAGGTCAGGCTGACTGACTTGAGCTTGTGCTAAGACTTCAGCGGCTGCCTCTGTGATTTCCTCGAACAGAATCTGACCATGCAAGCACATGTACACAAGTGGCCTCATCAATATCATCTTGGAACTAAGAATTCTAGTTTTGATGAACATGACCGCTTCAGACTGGGCATGATGGAGCAAGTCCTCGTCCACCAAAAAGTCGTCTAGTATCTGGGGAATTTGATCTTCTTCACACACTGCTTTCTTTCTCCTACTAGCTTTTCGTTTAATCGAAGCATAGATCTGTGCTGGATCTGTTTCCATCAAGACGAATTTTCTGATAGCAGGGGTGAGAGAAGCGACGATGCTATTCAAGTGGTTCAGATATTTTATGGTGAGCTTCCACACGTGGTATTTGGCAAACCTCGGACAGTCCCAAAGGAAGCGGTCCAGCCTGGCGCGGTATACTTCATCGAGCATGTTGTTCTCCACCTTTCTCAATGCAATTTCGGTGAGAAAGTAGTACCAAGTGTTTTGGTCGTCGTACTTGTTGGCGATTCTGATGCTTTCGCTCGTGTGATCTCCTTCTTGGAAGGGGTCTGGGATCTTGAAAAACGACGAAGGCGGCGTGATCTGAGTAATCGCTGAAAGGGGAACATGAGGGCACATTTCCACCCGCAATTCACACTCGAGCTTCAAGCAAGTCCAGAAGAGCCTGTTGACGAGGGCATCGTCGCGCGGGACATCGGCCAGACCAGCGGCGAGCCCGGCTCTCATTCTGGTCTTTTCGATGAATAGCACCAAGCCGGTGCTGGCGATGATGATTTCCTCATGGGCTAACGAGGGATTGAGAGTATCGTGGTGGTACTGGGATAGCAACACGTGGTACTTGACCGAAGGGATCGTGGATGGTCTCAAGGACTTTGGGAAGACGGCCGTCACGTAAGCCGCGTGTGCAATGTACATCTGGCTCAAGGCAAATCTGTTTTGGCCAGCCGCAGGGCCCGCTGCGGCTTTGGGGGTCTTGTGTGCGCCCATGGACGCGCGTTCCTCGAGGGAGTTTTCGTAGGTGCCGATGTTGTCGAGCGAGACCGGCACCGAGATGACGCCGATGGCACACACCATCAACAACATGGGCATGGTCTCACAGAGATTCCGATACGCCTTCTGGAGGCCGCGCGAGTCCTCCCTTCCGGCCGCCACGAGCGCGCGGGAGTAGCAGGCCCCGACCCGCTCGGTGCTTCTGAGCGCGTGGAACTCCGCGAGGAGCCGCAGCACGGTCACCCGGGGATCGGCGTTGCGGATCAAGGTGAACACCTCGAGCAGCTCGACGAGCTCCGCAATGTCCAAGAACGGCACCTTGGTGTGCGAGTTGATCAAGAACGCGTTGAGATGCGAGCCGAAGTGCTGCTGGAAGTCGGCCTCGACGGCCGCGGCCGTGGCGAGCTGCTCCTCCACGGACCCGGGCGCGGGCCAGCACGCACTGGGCTCTTCGCACGCCGACACCACACGGCCCACGTGGCGCGCCGCGTGGCGGGGGTCCCAGCCGAGCTGTTCCTGCAAGTACGGCCACGCAAACAAGCTGGTGAGGGACGCGTCCCAGAGCGGAATGCCGGGGCCTGGCGACGCGTGGGTCCGGCGTTTCTTGGGCGGCGCGGCGCGCGCGCCCCGGCCCCGGAGCTCCTCCATGATGCCGTCGAGCTTCGACGCGAGGCCGTTGTACGCCATTTCCAGGAGCCAGAAGTCCGGGCCGGTGGTCTCCGAGCTGTAGCAGCAGTCCCTGATGCCGTTGCGCGCGCACGAGCCGCAGCGCGGCTTGACGTTGTCGCACTTGATTTTCTTCTGGCGGCACTTGTCGCACGCCGTGGACGAGCGCTTGCGGCCCGAGGCGTGCTTGGGCCCGGCGGGGGCCAGGGGCGCCGGTTCCGGCCTGACGCGCGGGTCCGCGCCGCCGTTGGTGGGCGCGGGCCGCACCGGCTCGCCGCCGGAAAGGTCTGCGGAGTGCTGGCTGACCAGCGACGCCAGGAGCGTGTCGCTGAACACGGCCGGGGCGGCGCTGGAGTGGAGATCGTGGTACGCCTTGTGGGCGGCTGGGCTGGGCGCCATGTTCAAGGCGTACAGCAGCGGCGGCCCGGGATGGCGCGGCGGGAGCGGCTGGGGGCCGGGCGCAGGGCCGAGGTACGGGTAGCGCGCGAAGGCAAACGGGGGGTTGTGCGGGGTTCGCATGTCCTGTTGAGTCGTTGGTACATTTGGCGTGTTTGGCGTGTTTTGCGTGTTTTGAGGGGCTCGAGGGGGTTGTGTGTTTTGAAGAGCTCGAGGGGCGTGTGTGTTGAGAGTCTGTAGGCTTTGTGGGGTCTGTAGGCTTTGTGGGGTCTGTAGGCCTTGTGTGTTTTGAAGGCCTTGTGTGTTTTGAAGGCCTTGTGTGTTTTGAAGGCCTTGTGTGTTTTGAAGGCCTTGTAGGGTCTGTAGGCCTTGTGGGCTTTGTAGGCTTTGTGGGGGATGCCCGTGGTCTGGCCGGGCAGGGTGGCTCCATGGGTTTGGAGGGTCCCTGGGCAGAAGGAGGGGGCCCTGCTGGAATACCAAGTCGCCCGCTAGTCCGCGGCCGTTCGGGCCGGCGGCGGTCCCGGCGTAGCCCGGGGGTCTGGGCGGGCGCCCCGGCGCATGCTGCTGGTTCGGATGCATTTTTTTAACCGTGTCTCAGATGGTCGATAGTATGGAGTAGTGAGCCGCCGGGGGCTTAGGGCCACGAAAAGGCCGCGACATGACAGGGCCGCGCGAGGCCGCGGTCACGTGCCGCGGGGCCTGGCGCCAGCGGGCCGCTGCAGCGGTCTGCCATTGCTGCGAAATATGGGACCGGGCCGGAGGGCGTGCGAACCTGGGCCTGGAGAACAGGGCCGCCTGGAACGGGAACGGGGTTCTGGGCAGGGGATGGCGCTGGGGAGCCAAGGGACTGAAAGAAGCGGCATAATTATGGAACCGTCTACGCGAGCCACCATGGATGGTGAATGGATGACAGGACCGGGGGCAGAGGACCGGCCGCGAGCAGGCCTGGCCCCATACATACAATATATACAATGGATGTACCCTAGATTCATGTACCCTATATTTGCGATGGACGCAATATATATAGCTGCAATATATGAACTATATACACCTACAATATATGCACTATATATACATACAATAGATGTACCATATATTCATGCGATAGATGTACACTATATATACCTACAATATATGCACTATATACACGTACAATTTATACAGTAAATATACCCACACTACATATACATACTAGACATATACATAGACATATATCATATATGCAAGAAACATCATATTACAGGGTGTCAGTGAAGATGCAAAGCCCAACCACCAACGAAAATCTATAAAGAGATAACCCAGCATTGGCTCAAGTGAAAAGGCGCGAGCACATACAAAATATATACATACAATGTATACATACCATGGATATACAGTATATATACATACGATACTACACACCATAGATACAATATATACCCATATACAATACACCCATACAATAAATACCCATACTATATATACCCATACTATATATACCCATACAATATATACCCCTACAATGTATACCCCTACAATATATACCCGTACAATATACACCCATACAATATATACCATGACTATGTACAATATATACACACAATAAATACATGGAGTACTCGAAAATCTCGACATGCTCGGAGTCTGATAGACGTCCGTAGCCGCTCAACCTCCGCACGCCCGGCTCCGGGATCCTAGCAATGCCATGTCTGGCTACTGGGCCTGCCATGTGAGGCGAGCAGGATGGAGGACTGCGGCTGGCCCCGCGGCTTCTCCAGAACAATCGCATGGATAACAGGCCTTTTGAATTTCAGCCATGAGGTGTTGTTGAAGATCAAGAGCCTCGTTATACCTGACGCTTTGCAGACCGCAAAAAAATGAACCTTGGACCATGTTTCCGTCGCATTTAAGAGCAATACAGTGCGCGAGTGTTCTCCGGTAGGTCGGTGTAGTCCACTAGAGTCAATAGCAGTATTGTGCGCCCACATTGTTTTGTGTCCACGACACTTTAGATTTCCAGTCCCACGCTCGGTGAATAAAATACATAGGGCCGGCCTGGCCTGGCCCGTCGCAGAATTGTGTGCTCGAGAGCTGAGCTAATAAAAAAAGGAAGATGTATTAGGTATGTTGAGAGGGAGGCGCGGCAGAAGCCTGGCGAAAGACAAACCACTGGTTGCAGTGAATGGTCTTCGCGAGCCTCGCAGGCCCAGAACCAGACGTCCGCCAAATCCAGAGCCCACACCAGTCCCCGGGGCGGCGGTGAGGGTATGCGCATGTGCCCGGCTCGGGACTTGCCCCCACGGGCGGCCTACGGGAGGAGGGGTCGTGGCAAGGCCCGCGCATGTGACGGCGAGCCTCCGGGTGTCATTGGTGCTATATATATACGGCGGCGCACAGTCCTAGCCCGGAGGCAACTGCGAGGCGTCCACGACGTCGTTGGCGTCCACCGCGTCCTCGTCGCTGGGCGAGCTCTCCTCCAACGGGGTCCTTGGCAAGGCCATCATGCCGGAGCGGGCGATCTCCAAGATGCCGAACGGGTGCAACAACTGGATGAACGACGACACGCGCGAGGGCTTGGCGCTCAACTCCACCACCACGTTGCGGTCGGAGATGTCCACGACCTTGCCGCCGAACTTGTCCACGATGGTCGAGATGTGCTGCAAATGCGCGTGCTTCTGCCTCAACGCCGCGGATGGCGCCAAGTTGCTGGGGTGGAACTCGCTGTCGCGCGCGGCCAAGTCCGGGAGCGCGGAGCCCTCGCTGGCGTACTCCTTGTGCGCGGCAATCAAGTCCTGGAAGTACTCGGGGCCCAACAACGAGATCCGCGCCAACAACAACTCGCGCTGCACGATCTCGGCGTTGGTGTAGTCCAACACCGCGTACACCGGCACCAAGTCCTCGATCTGGCGCCGCGCCTGCTCCACGACCGCGTCCTGGCCACGCAACACCACGGTCATGCGCGACAAGTCCTTCACCGCAGTGTTGCACACCACAAGCGAGTCGATGTTGAAGCCGCGCGCAGCCAAGGTGCCCGACACGGACGACAACACGCCGGGCTCGTTCTGCACCAAGCAGTTCAACACGTGCTGTTTCCGGGGGGCCTTGGAGGGCACGGGTGTCTCGTAGAGAATCGACGACACCGCGGCGTCCGCGGACCAGTTGGGCGTGTCGAACGTGGGCAAGGCCGGGCGCTTCTGGTTGCGGTGCAACGTCTTGTACGCCAAGGCCGAGGTGGACGACGAGGTCACCTTGCTTCTGGCCTGGCGGAGCATGGCAAGTGCGGATCCACGCATGTTCAGGTCTTTGTGCTGGTGGGGCGAGGGGGGGCGGCGGCACTGGGGTCTGGCTTCTTGCTCGATTGCAAGACTGCCGGTGCGCGGCCCTGCGATTTATAATTTTTTTGCGAGAGGGCCGGCGGGGCGCCTTGAGTCATTCGTGCCGGCGCACGACCGCGGGGCAGCGGGTGCGGGCTGGGGCCGACGGAAGCGCCGGGCGCTGCGCCGCGGCCGCTCAGTTCCAGTAGGGGGCGGGAAGAAGAAAGATGCTGGTTTCACACGAGGCTTGTGGCGGGAGGTTGGTTTTTTTTATGGTGCTTGGAGGGTTGCGTAGGGTGAGCCGCGTGGCTAGGAGCTGGCGTGGTCTGTCCAGTGCGCACTCGAGTTTCTCTGGATGTGACTGGTCTGCGGGTCCGCGCTGCATTCGACGTTGGTGTTGGCTTGTAGTGGGGGGGGTAGCATTGACACTATGGGTGTTCTTGTAGTAGACATAGTGGTGGCATTGCGGGAATATTGATGTGATAGTATCATAGCAGTGCTGGTCTAGCATTGGTACTAGTAGTAATAAATCGGTGGAGGTCTTATGGTGGTGGTGTTATAGTGGTGGTATTATGGTGGTGGTGTTATAGTGGTGGTGTTATGGTGGTGGTCTTATAGTGGTGGTCTTATAGTGGTGGTATTGTAGTGGTGGTGTCATGGTGGTGGTATTATAGTGGTGGTATTATAGTGGTGGTCCTATAGTGGTGGTAGTGGTGGTATTGCACTGGTGATATTGCACTGGTGGCATTGCAATATCATTACTGCGGTAGTGTTATTGCAGTAATTTTTTGCGGTAATATTTTCGCGGTAGTGTTATTGCGGTAATATTATTGCGGCAGTGTTATTGCTGTGATGTCCTTGCGGTAAATTATTGCGGTAATCTCAATGTGCTGTTATTATAGCAGTGGTGGTATAGCATTGACAATATTGATATTCTGGCAGTAGTGGTATCATACTGGTGGTATCATAGTGGTGGTCTTATAGTGGTGGTATTGCGGAATCATTGCTGCGGTAGTGTTATTGCAGTAATTTTTTGCCGTATTATTTTTGCCGATTAATGCAGTTGTACAATTGCAGTGGTGGTATAGAATTGACAATATTGATATTCTCGCACTAGCATCAAAGCAGTGGTGATGTTGGGTGGCGTTATAGTAGTACTTTTGAAGCAGTGATGGAATTGTAGTAATGTCACGGTGGTAGAGTTATTGCAGTAATTTTTTGCCGTATTATTTTTGCCGATTAATGCAGTCGTACAATTGCAGTGGTGGTATCGCATTGATATTGTTGATATTCTAGCATCAAAGCAGTGGTGGTGTTGCGGTGGCATTATAGTAGTACTTTTGCAGCAGTGACGGAATTGTAGTAATGTCACGGTGGTGGTGATATTGCAGTAAAATCTCTGCGGTGGTTTTCTGTGGCAGCATCATAATTGCAGTGGCGATATCACAGTAATTACAGAATAGTATATTGCAGTGGCCTCGGTAGTATGGCTCACCACACTGACCGGATGGTGTCTGCTGGGCCTCATCAGAGCCGATTACATACAAAACCTCATGAGATCGAAGCTATACAATGAACGGCTTTTCGTTCATTGAGCGGGCACAAACAGAAGGAGCCTAACCACTTCGCCCGGGCTTTTCCTCGTGATCTTTAACAAGAATGGTTGGCGCAAAAGGGTCTCACCGCCCTCCATCTATTCAACCACGGCTTCCATGTTCCCTCACGAAAATAAAGCTGGGAGTCACGATTCGAATGCAGGCTTTGTTTGAAACGCTGCTATGGCGGTCAGGGGTTAGCCGACCTATACAATGAGTGTGAGAATACGCACTTCTGGTGGCAAAAATCGGCTTTGAAGTAATGCATTCAAGGGAAGTGCTAGCTCTTTTAAATACTTCCTTTGGCAATTTAAGAAACTTCACATGATTTGTTAGTCGTTCGCAGCGTTCATTGTCTTAGGGGCCAAGAGGCAAAGCCAAATGTACGTCTTGCCGCCTTGTCAGATAAAATATGATCCTGGGCCCTTCGCAAAACATATCCTATGTGACGATGACGTTTACGTAATTTTGTTCAAGTGGTCGACGTGGGTTATGGGCAGACGTCTTTTTGAGGGGAGACACATCCTTATTGGGAGACTTCGTGAATTGAGGCCCGCGCCAATGTTGCGATCTATTATAGTTGTTTTTTTTTTTTCTTTTTTTTTCTTTATAGTTTTTGCGGTGGGGTCTTACATCTCTCAATAATATAATTATTTTTTGAAAAAAAAAAAAACGTTACTGCAGTAGTGTTAATGCAGTCATTTTATTATAGTCATATTAATGTGGGAGTATTATAGCAGTGCTGGCACAGCATTAATATTGTTGATCGCAGTAATATTATGGCTGTAGTCATATAACTGTAGTGTTATAGCAGTAGTGTTACTGCAGTGCTGTTATGCAGTGACATGATTCCTGTGGTTTCGGTAGTGTTATTGCAGCTGCATTACTGCAGTAGTCGTAGGCCAGTAGTGACATTCACCTTTGTAGTGCACCAGTCTGTATTGCACCGGTTCTACTACACTTGCATTGCACCAGTATTGCATCGCACCAATTTGCATCGCACTAGTTCTGAAGGTCCTTCAACTCTTCAACTACATTAGCTTTTGTCCAAAATCCGCAGAAAGTAGATGCGTTTGAAATGGATTGGGACTGTTCATCACCACCACAATGGCGGCCATGACGCCAAGTACGCAAGAAATGGACCTGACCCCCAAAGCCAAAACCGTATTCATAAACCGTCGTGGGGAATCCTTCATTGAAAACTCAATGGTGATGCCATGAAACATCACCGCTGGCTCAGGCGACTCATGTCCCCCGGTCGTACTGTATATCTATATCAAATACCTGGAATGTGAAATAACAACGCCCAATTCGAAAGGCTATCGCACCATTATACCTGGAATCTTCCGGACCATTGTCTTATAAACCGGCATTTCTCATGCTATACAGATCTGGATTCTTATTCCTTTGATGCAAGCTGCTGCGACAGGGTATGAATGATCGTTCATGGTCAACCTCTGCACTCTGAACGCATCTTCAAAATGTCCAGGCCATATTGCCATATGGTGTAGTTTTTCGCTCAGCTCTGGTAGGCCCTCAGGTCGCTAATCATGACGAGTGACTATGATGACTCTTTTCGATGGGCCAAAAAAAGCACTCCTGATAATAAATTTGTGCCTGAAATATCACCTCTCCATCACCATGTCCTTAAGAGTACCATTTCTACGATATGGTCAGTTGAATGCCAGAATTGCGAAAGAATACACAAGCACCCGCAAAATATATAAGCCAGATGTAAATCACATCTACGTCATATGTAAGTCACATCTAATTTATTTTCAAATCACCTCTCAATCACACCTAATACACACCTAATTCCACCTCGTCTTCACCTGTTTTTCATCTTTAAGTCGCATCTGTTTCGTCTCTGATTCACCACATAATGACCTCTTAATCACGCAACGGAACCTCGAAAAAGTCACCCAGCCTTGAAAACATGTATATTGCTCTGCTCTACCACGAACCGTCAGCACCAATATAGTAGCCTCACCATCCGCGCGCCCCACCAAAAGAGAAAGTGGAGAACTACCGTTGTCAGGCTTGGGTGTGCACACAAGTACGGCCCCCATGCTCCACATTAACGTGCCACTGCGCCTACGCCTTTCAAAGCACTATTCCTATACTAAAACCTGGACTCGCTACAGCCCGAATCTACCCTCAAATTGGCCCCAGAATTGCACCCGGCTCACGTGACCCCGAAATCTTGCTCGTCTGCAGATCTTGCGTGATACCCCATAGCGCCCTCGGCCCAGAAACTTCTCCTCACTGCACACCATGTCAGCGGCTCTCATCAACAGATCGCTCACAAACGTGCGTACCGAACTCGAATTTTTGTATGACTCGGAGGTCATCGACAAGCTGCTTTTTGACTCGCTCATGCTGTCGCTTCCCAAGAAATACGCTAAGGACATGTCTCCCTGGGGCTTGGACAAGGTGCCCAGTTTGTCTGGAACAAACGACATTAAGAACAATGCCAGCCCAGCCAAAGCAACTTTCGATGCCACTTTCACAGACTCCATTGCCGAATCCTTGAAAAAGACGTTGTTGCGGGACGACTCGGACTCCTCTCCTCAGACCCCGGCACCCGTACCTTTGCCCGAAAGAACGCCCGCGCCTGTGCTTGGTTATTGCCAGGCCTCGTATGACTACGAGTCCAGCGAAAGCGGCGACTTGAAACTCGTGAAGGGCGACGTTCTAGCGGTCGTGGAGCACCTTTCTCTGGACTGGTGGAAGGGATATAAGAAGGGCAGTTCCCCTGCGCAGGCAGGCGTGTTTCCCTCGAACTACGTGACTCTGGTTGCGGAAAAAGACTTCCATACGTCTGAGCCCAGCCCCTTGCCCAGCAATAACGAGAAAGCTACTTATACCCCGGAGAACAGTTCCTTTGCAGCAGCCCCGCCCATGTACAAACCTGCCCCAAACACTGCCTACCAGCAGGGTTACCAAGCCCAGCCTTCGTATGGCGGCCAATTCCAACAACCCTCGTACGGTGGCCTTGTCCAGCAGCCTTCGTACGGTGAAAATTCCCAGTTTCCGCCGCCATCTACTAGCTATAATGGTCAGCAACAGGTACAGCATGAGCAGCAGCTGCCACAGCAAAATAATAGTGGAATCGACCCGAAACACGTGAAGAAATTCGGCAGCAAGTTGGGCAATGCTGCCATTTTTGGTGCTGGCGCCACCATTGGAAGTGGGATCGTCAACCTGATCTTTTAGGAGTCTCACGGCGAACTGCCTTGCGGCTCGCAGATGTACTGAGCAAGGTGGCGCACCAGTATATTTGCATGTTTTTCAATCTCGGACCCTGGAGTTCCCGTGGTTCACTGTTCAACTTTTCGCAAGGCGCATGAGTCGTAGCATGTGGGCTTCTCAGCTAGTGTTGCATTCGAGAAACAAAGTTTGATTTCCGACTATATTGATTTACTTTTAGAAGCACTTATAAGCCCATCGCTCTCACCATCACAGCTTTATATGGGCATGCGGCCCTATATCTACTAAAGTGAGCGGGAATAGCACTTCGTTGTTTTACGTCCGAGTGAGCCCAATATTTTCTGGATTCCCGGCTGCATTCAAACCCCAAAGCGTAGACACAGTATTTCCCAGAACAAGTTCTTACCTATACTAAAAAATTCTAGTTGGCACGTTTCATTCTCAATGAATTTTTTTGGAGTTGAAGGCATCAGCTTTTTGGTATCAAACAATAACCCAGCTCGGGAATATTCACGTCTTCATTCGGGATTTTAAGGCGTCTTGCGACCTTGTCTCACCCCACAGGTGTACACGGAAGTATTATGTTTCCACAATTGATACATTAAAGCATATTCGTGATTAGTTTCGAAGGATTTTTCAGTATTTTCTAGGTCTACTTGTACGGAACACTTCATGATTGTGATGTGATTGACCCATTCAGCATCTGGCTCACACTGTGAATTCTTCGAAAGATTTACCTTAGGATGGAAAAATAAATACATGAAATATACTATCTCACCTTCAAGTGTCTGCGGTTTTCTAGTTGGTTCATTCATCGTTACTATTTACAATTCGATATCTACTTCCTGGAATCAACCACAGTGTTCAACAACAACGTGTCGTTGTCCAACAAGATTCTGTTGGGAGAGGTGGCCAAGATCAGAGCAATCTCTCTGGCAGTGTCCAATCTCTTTAACTCGACATAGTCCTTGGACTTCTTGATCGCATCACCAATCAATTCAGCGGATTTGGCCTCACCGGAAGCTCTAACCACCAATTGCTGCTTTTCTTGAATGGCCTTGTCGACAACAAAAGCGGCTCTCTGCGCGTCTTGTTGAGCAATCTGCTTGGCCTCAACTGCTGCACTGAACTCGGGGGAAAAGGTCATGAAAGTCAACGACACGTCGTCCAACTGGATGTTGAACTTGGAAGCACGGCGCACGAGGTTCTCCTTCACCAACCTCGACACTTTCTCTCTCTGCGTAATCAATTGAGAGGCGTTGAATTGAGCAATCACGGACTTCAACACTTCGTTCACGATCGAGGGCAAAACTTTCTCGTCGTAGTCTTGGCCCAATGTTCTGTAAATATTTGGTAACTGGTAAAGATCTGGCTTAAACAAGACACGGCATGTGATGTTCACCATCTGCAAGTCCTTGGTTCCGGTCAAGGAAGACACGTTTCTGGGCTTAGCTCTCACGTCGAAAACAATTGGCCTTTGGAACCAAGGGATGACAAAATGAGTTCCCTCGGGGTAAATTTGGTTCTGGATTCCATGCAACCGCGAGTAGATAATTGCTCTCTGGCCACCATCGACGTTAAACAACGCATTCAGTGCCAACATCGAGGCGCCTCCCAAGAGAAGAAGACCACCCAAGCCCGCAAACATTCCGAGGGGCGATTTTGGTGGGGAGCCTCCGCGAGTGCCGTTTTGTGCCATGCGGCGTCTCAACTCTTGGGTGACTTTTTGCCATTGAGGGTCGTTCATTTTCAAATCGATTTGTGGGGTTTGATTGTGTGTTCCGGGTTGTCTATTCCAGGGTCACGGCTTTCCAAATTTTACTGTTCGCCTCTCGCGAGATTGCCCTCTTTTTTTGGTGTCGTTCCCGCGAACCCAAGCGCGACATTTCAAACGCGACATTTTTTGCAACTCGCCGCCAGTCACGAAACCAGTATAGCTTATAGAGGTACCCTCATCATAGAGGCACCCCTTCGTAATCGTTGTCCTTGTAATAGTCTGCGATTTTGCGTTTCCAGTACCGCTTCCTGTTTGTGTGGATCGGCGTCTTGATAAGTATTCTCTCGCAAAATATTAGGAATATGAAGAAAAGCGCGATCACTGAACTTGGGGCGAGACTCTTCACGAAATTTCTGGTGCTTAAGACTTCTTGGTACGGACATAGAGCATAGGGTCCGCCCAGAACATAGCACCCAGAAACGGTTATATCGTTGAGATCAATCCATACAGGATGCAGGACGTTCTTGCTGACGAGAACCGAACGCAATGAAAATTGCTCGAGGCTCAGGTGGGGGATTCCAGCACTGAATCCTTCTGGGCAGATCTCATCTTCGTCCAACCAGTCAATGTACGTTTTTATCTCGCTTGTGAGTTCCCATGAATATGGGTCTGAGTCATTTTGGCACACTCCTCTCATTTTATCGTAGCAGTTCTGGACCGCCCAGCCATCCGTGGTGATAGACACGCACAGGTACGCTGTCTGGGAAGTCAGCCTGATGTACCACACATCGTCATTTTGATAGTACTTCTGGTCACTGTTAGTTTCGTTGTACGTCTTGCTATCGTAAAACTGGTCCGAGGCCCACGACCAGAAAGATACGGGTGTGTAGCTGTTGGCAATTTGGAGCGTTTTTTCTTGAGCGTCTGCTTCCATAGCAGACACGTTTGAAGAGTTGAGAATTGCGCTGAATCCGCTCTCAAGGTACGCATTGACAGTCTGGTTTGTGAACGGCGTCATCTCATCGTCTACAACGAAGCGGAAGTGGGACTCCCTGCCCCAGTTACAGAAGTCCGAAGGTTGGGAGTTTTCTAGAGTGTCCGAGATATTTTGAGCCAACAGTCCATTTTCAAGAGTCTCCACCCATGGCAGAAAGTAGTACTCGTCTGGAAAAAATATGGTATCTGTATCCGAGGAAGAAATATTGTAGCCCGTACTCGAATTATGGAGAGTGTTGCTGAGCACGAAGGGAAAAACTCTCTTGTACAAGCTGAAAAGATAAGCATCCTGGGTAGGGTAGCGCACAGAGTCTCCACTTGGACTTTGCCGCAGGTCCCACAGCTGGAGATCTAGTGGGCTAAAGATGTAAGACTTTACAGCACTCAAAGAATCTTTCAAAGTGCTGCTCCCGACACTCAAGTAGTCCAGACTATATGATCGATATGGCGCGGGGACTAGATCGTGGCTGGTGCCTGCGGTGTTGGTGATATTCAGAGTTGAGTTCGAAGGCGTCGTATCCATCACTTCATGATAGATGGACCTGAGATTGAACGCAAACTGTACCACATTCGCCTCCAACCGCACATTGGTCTCAAATAAATAGGAGTTCACTTGCTGAAACAAATCCGTGACAGAGAATCCCGGCATACAGTTGTAGGTTTCATTGTTCCACAGCACTTCTACTGTTTTGGAGAGATCTATAGTTTCATTCGCCGGTATTGGGGCGGGACAAAGCTGCCAGTTTTGGGTGAAATGGTTCCAGTACAAGTCAACCATGAACAAGCTGTACTTCATGTCCAAATAGCTCTTGACCGTCGAGAGAGATGTGTTTGAATATCCTTCTATATCAAACACCACTCTATTGAGTGAAACCCCGAAGAATGTAAGTTGATCGATGGTATCGTTGTTCGAGATGTCCCTTTGAGCGGTATATAGATCTGCGCACAGCAGAGCCAAATCTGACCAGCTTAGAAGATTAGCGCAGCATATTTGGAATAAGAAAACGGCTGCCCCAGCTGGAAGAAGCAACATGGGGGAGTCCGGCTATGGGCTTTCTTTATCTTTTTCTTGGTTCAAACCCCACAATCCAAGGTAGTTGGTGCGGTGCGCTTGACTTATCTGGTGCGGAATATAGCACTAGGGAAGGGCACAGGATATCTAGATTGAGAATGATTTGCCACCAAACTATATCATAGCCGTATGTTTAGCTAGTTGCTTCTCTTGGTGTATGTAAGGATGCATGATTCTGTTCCATTTCCAGAATTCGTTAACAAAGTATTTAATTTGGACTTTTTAAGTTTTGTGTCGGACACATAAAAGAATCAAATTGTATGTTATACGGGTATATTACAAAATTTATGATTATATGTCATTACATGAAAATTGTTTGCTGGAAAATCCCCATGAATTCCGTAAAAGGTATCACAAGTTGAAGGAATAAATACGAGAGTACTGTTTAAATGGGAAATTCCCACAGTGTCATAAAACTTCTTTAGGACTTTCAAAGCACTGTCTTCGACATGAGCGTTTGTTTACGCGACCGCCTGCGCCGCGTCGCTGTGGGGAATCAAAAACACACTAAAATCACCTCTCACAATTTGACCTGCTAGCAAATGAAAACTCTGCTTGAGGATACAATTTTGGCGTCTCTCAACAACAAGCAATGTCAGGCAGTGACGTCACCCAGCTCAGGAGTTCTCCAGATAATTGCTGGACCAGGAACAGGAAAAACCAAGGTCATCGTATCGCGAGTTGCCTATCTTTTACTTCATGAAAGAATCTCTCCACAGAATATAATAGTGACTACCTTCACCAAGAAAGCCGCCAATGAGATGGTGGAGCGATTGCGTGAGCTATTTTGTGGCTCAGAAATTCCTTTCGAGAAGCTCCTAATCGGCACTTTTCACAGTATCTGCTACAAAATCATTCAAAAGTATGGTCATTTGATTGGTCTTACGAATATCTCTATTGCAGATGAGAAAGACTCAATGCAGATTCTATCGAACGCATTGACGTCAAAAATAACCACTGATCAGTGGAAGAGTATCGATGCCCTTTCTTCAGCAGTAACAGGCAAGTTCAAAACGAAAAACGAGGCCAAGGGCAAATTCAATGGATATGATCCCAAAGCTTTCAAAAGACACATTTCCAAGGCAAAATCAGCAGGATTGACGCCCGAAGACTACGACAAGCAGCATCAGAAAAACGCGCTTTTGCTGGTTGTTTACCAGGCCTACCAAAATGAGCTTCTTGCCAACAAAGTCTTGGACTTTGACGATTGTCTCTTGTACTGCTTCAAAATAGTCTCTTGCTTTCCAGTCTTGAGGCACGTTGAACACACCCTTGTTGATGAATTCCAAGACACAAATGAAATCCAGTTGCAGCTCATGTACTGCTTTGCAAAAGGCGCTTCCCTACACTCGAATGTGACAATTGTAGGAGACCCCGATCAGAGCATTTATGCATTTAGAGATGCACAAGCTGTAAACTTTGAAAAGATGAGAGATCACTACTTAAAGACAAGCGACCAGCCATGTAAGATTATTACTTTGGATGAGAACTATAGATCCACGTCGGACATACTCCACATTTCAGAGACTATTATGCGTCAACAGCCTGGAAGAGTTGTAAAAAACCTCACATCCCAACTTGAGAAATCCTTCAAACCATTTCATGCAGTTCTCGACTCCAGCGAGGAGGAAGCAAGATGGATCACACATCAAGCGGAATTTCTTGCGGGCTTACCGCAAGGTATTTTTTCGTATTCTGATATGGCTATCTTGGTGCGTTCAGCATTCCAAACAAGGCTGATCGAAAACGAGCTCACAAGGAAAAAGATTCCGTACTTCATGGTACGTGGCAAAGCATTTTGGGAGAGGAAAGAGGTCGTAGCTATACTTGACTACCTCAGGTGTGTTACAAACAAAGACGACAAGTTGGCATTCATCAGGTGTGTAAATTTTCCAAAACGTGGTCTTGGTCCTAAGGCGCTTGCAGACTTGGACTCATTGATTGACGGCGAGAGAATGAGGAAACCGAATCACTCGGTATTTCTTACTTTACAGAGGATCGCCACAGCAGATTTGAAATCGTCACTTGGGCCAAAAATGAGGGACAGTTTGTTTCTGTTTTTACGTATTATTGAGGACACTCATCAAATTTTGCTCAAAGGATTCGAAATCGGAGCAGGGGACGAGAAAGCTGTTATCGAGGAAGCATTCAACAGCATATACAAAAACTCGAACATCTTGAAAGAGTTTGAGGAAAAAGTGGACATTGAGCTCAATATTGAGGAAGTGAAAGCACAACTTCTAGCCTTTGAGCTTCCTCCGGAATTCCCATTGCCGGATTTAGCTGAGGCAGAAATCCAAAACGTGGATGAGATTACGGGCCCTCTGTTCATCAGAAAGTTTCTCGAACTGATATCGCTCTACGATACCGATCCAGGGAAGAGCGAGGAACAGCTTAAAAAGCCTAAAATCTCCATCTCCACAATCCATGGGTCGAAGGGTTTGGAATGGCCGGTCGTCTTTGTACCTGGAGCGAGTGAGGGCCTTTTGCCTGCTTCATTTGCCATTGACGAAGCGATACCCGAAACCGTCAACGAAGAACGCAGGTGCCTTTATGTCGCTACAAGTAGAGCACAAACCCTCCTCTACATATCAGCATATACAGAGACCGAAAGCGGAGGTTGGCGGAAGCCCGTTGAAGAATGTTCCAGGTTTATGAAGAAAGCGGGTAAACATTGCGCTACTCACTTGGAGCTCGACACTCAAGAGAAGTTGAAAACCTTGTTTGAGCTCAGGGGTTCGGAGTTGACCGCCCATGGTTTTGATGTCGAGGCTTATCACGAGGAGTACACCCGAGGATTGCTGGAATATGTCAAGAAGCAAACCTTTAGGTCTGGAGCTCATGGAGAATTCACGTCTGCCGGTAAATTGAATTACACACCAAGAGAAAACACGTTTATCCAAAAGTCAAGAAACTGCTTTTCTGGGGTCAAAGCAGGAAAACCTCTACGCCTGGTAGGCCAGGCATGTTTCCAAGAAAAATTGGACAGGCAAAGAGCACCTTCCTATATCCCGGTTCGAAATAAGGTGGCTATTCATAAGTTTAAGAGACCAGCTGGAGAGTTTGCGAAGATGGAAACTACACATGTCAAGGCCGTGTGCTCGAATACACCCGACTTTGTGAGTGTTGGTGTGAAAAGAGCACCAGCATACGTGCCGGTCAGGTCGGGAGGTAAAAAGCGTTTGGGTACTAAGGCACGGGCAGCAAGTGGGCTGGGTGCACACGACGGCTAAACCGCCTTGCGTTTGCTCACTTACAAGCCGTGTCTATAAAATTGGGTTGACTATTGAAAGAAGAGATAAAAGTTCGGTGTTGGCCCGCATCGGGCCCAAACGACCTACTTAGTGATCTGGAATGACCACGGAAACTCCAAGTGTACCGTCTTATCATCGTCAACAAACTTTGTGATGGCCGAGTAAGACCCCCTGGCAAACATGCCGGAGGGAGCCTCAACTGCACCAAACGACTTCTCGTAATATGGCTTTTCCGTCGTGTTTGGCGCATACGACCCCAATGGCTCGTCCACTTTATCAACACGCACGAGTCCCTTCTTCACCGAATGCAAGTATTTCAAACCCGTGATGATTTCGTGCTGCACCCTGAACTTGACGCGCAACTCATACACGGTCTTTTCCTTGATGGTGAAAGCGATGTCCTTTTTGATGGTAGCACCGTTGGCATCCTCCATAGGAATCAGAACTGTTTCCAAATCATCCAGTTCGGGAAATACCAATGCCATTTCCACGATGACTACTGTGCGCTTGTCGCCGGGGGCAACCGGATACGCGTTCGCCGAGGCAGACAAGCCGAGGGATGCCTTCCATTTGGCCAAACTCTCATCCTCGGCGTCAAGCTTGGTGTACTCCTCGATTGTCTTTTTCTCACTCACAACATAGCCCTCGACTTGTTCTGGAGTCAATTCTTCGTTGGACATATTTGACGTGTTTTTATTGGGGCAGTGAGCTGGTCGAGAATCGTGGACCAAAGGCGGCGCGCGTTTGATCTGTCGTGGTTCCCGAGAGTGTGCAGGCCGGGGGCTGAAAACGCCCACATACAGGACGTATGCGGCAGGGGGAAGCTGAGGATTCCAAGTCTCGGGTGAGGCTGAGTGAGCAGACATGATTGTCTGGGACATGTCGATAATTCGACGGTTTCTCTTTCAATTACGAAAAGAAGCTTTTGTAATTGGAGCGCTCGTATAAAGATTGCAAGACCTTGGTGATCATGAGCTTGTCATTTGCAGATGGAGGTGCTTCTCATGCGAGCATCTATTGAACAAATATCCCAAGGAGGAGCCTTTCGAGATCCGGCCGGATGAGGCGATTTGTCCAAACGCCACCTGCCTGAGAAACCCAAATCTTTTTCGACAAAAAGGGGCTATATTTGCGCTTTTTGCTGCCATTCCCATCAATGAAAAACTGTTTTCATTAGACAAGAGATTGCTTGCACGAAGGTCGGCCCTTCGTAACTTCGAGCGCGCTTCAGCACCACGTCCAGGGTCTATATTGCTGGAAAAGAGCTCTCTAAAGTACTCAAATCTTGTTCTGTTAGCGAGGTGATCCTAAAAATTTTAATAAGGCATCTGTGATTCAAGTCGCCCGACGCTCATTGCCAAACTTGCTCATTTTCGGTGCGGATCTCATATTCTCAAAAAGCACACCAAGGCTAATTTGTCTTTTGGCTGCGAAGAGCGTGTGCTGAGCGCAGCAGAGGTTCCTGAAATGACAACCCTAGTAAGCCTGTTATACTCATTGACAAATCAAGACTCGGCTAATGTTTTTTCGTACTTTTTTAAGATTTGCAAGATAACATGACATCGTTTGTTACCCTGGTATACATCTAAGCGAGCCCCCACGATAATCGCCCGCGCCGGTGGCCTCACACCCGGACACCAAGCCTCATACTTGACCTATGCTAGTATAACATATTCATCAAGTCAAAGAGACCATGAGTAATCCTGACGAAGTACGTAGCTTTATGCTCTATTCGCCATGCACGTTTTGAGCCGTAACTAACTTTTCCCCTTAGATCAGAAACAAGAGATTGGCACGGCTTGCGCAGTTATCTGCCAACTCACCTTCCTCAGGGCCTTCGGCCTCTCCGAAACAACCAAAATTGGATCCTCAGCAACAACAGGCGCCTGATAAGGTATTGAAACCGTCACCACTGGAATCATCGGAAAAATTGGCTCCTACCACCGGAAAAGCCGATTTGAAAGCCGCAGAGCTGACCCAAGCATCCTCTCATACAGTTTCCCCAGAAATCGCCATGGACAAGTGGTTGAGAAGTGAGGTGCTCAGTTTGTTTGGCGTTGGATTTGGTGGTGATGCCAACAATTTCATGTCATTGGGCATGTCGGAGGTCTTAGATCCCACATGTGCTGACGCGATTTTCGTGGAAATCCTCACAGAACTAGGCACACCTAACGCCCAGTTGCCTTATTTGTACTTGTTCGAGGTGTACAACAAGGCGTTTGCGCTGCGCAGAACTCTTCTGAAAAAGTCAGCTGACTACGAGACGAAACTCGGGTTTTTGACTGCTGTCTCTTCATACTGTGCCGCGTATGGCCTCATCTGTTTCCAAGTGCCTGAGATGATTCTCGGCAACAATTTGCCCGACACTGTCTCTGCTCTTATTTCAAGGCAAGACTTGCACACGCTTTTGGCGGATATAATAGTCAAAGCGGTCGAAGAAGATGCGGTGTTGGACGTCACAAACGCCATTTTCCCGCAGTTGGCTGAGCGCCTTCACCTCATCAACATAGACAATCCCGAGTACACGAAATACCTCACGCTCTGGGAGACATTAGTATCTATGAAACCCGTATGTGCCAGCTTCTCACAGATCGACTCGTTCAGCCCAGCAGATGCCACTAGTGGCTTGCATTTCGAGAACAGGACCTTGCTTGGCTCCTTGTTAAAGTTGTCTCCTCTACACCCGAAAGTGTGCACCTCGTACTTTTTGAGTGGTGCTTTACCCACCCAGGAAATCGAGCTCAGCAATGCAAAATTGGCCCCACTCTTCTCGACCATCCAAAATGAGTATAAAGCCTTGGCTGAGCGTTTATGGTTCATCATGGACAAGCTCATTCGAGGCTCGCCCCAGACGAGACAGGCAATCATGAAGTGGTTTGCTGATTTGGCGAATATCTCACACTTGAGAACCGGATCTTATTCAGACCCCAAGAAGTTGGCCGGTGACGGCTTCATGTTCAACATATCCTACATGTTGGTCCGATTGAGTTTACCTTTTCTTAATTTCCCTACGTACTCGAAGCTTGACAAAATCGACCCTTACTTTTTCGGAGGCAAGAATAAATTATTGGACGTCAAAGAAGAGCCCAGGGTATATGCCTCATCTACGGAAGCCGAAGAGTTTTATAAGGATGTCATGGACGAGGAATCCAATTTCATTTCAGACTGCTTTTACCTCACACTAACCTATCTTCAGTACGGCATCGGTGGCGTGATTTCTAACTACAACAAAATGAAAGGCCAACAGCGCTCGTACAGACAACAGAGAGAAGTCCAAAGCAGACGCTTAGGAACCGAGAATCGGTTGATTGCGGGAATCACTATCTTTCTCAACAATATCAAGTGTTCCAGATGGGTTATTGAGGCGTTTTTTTTGAATAGAGGACTCAATTTGGAAATTTTTGATTTTGTGGTTGGCTCGGCACAGTTCTTTTTGAGAACCATCGACCCCGAGAACAAGCATCCCTCACCTAAGATCTCCATCCCAACTTTTCAAGTCGAAAAGACGAGCCAACTTGACGACAATGAGTTTTTGAAAAGCCAATCGCCAGTTCCGTGGAAGTTCATGCCAGAGTCTTGTTTGGAAGGCATAATAAGCTATTGCGACTTCGTTTCTCGGTTTCATATGAACCCCTTGACGAAGAACGACGAAAAGCTCTCGATTGTTGCGGAGTTTTTTGTAGCCTTGTTGCGCTGTCCTGAGTTGATTGGAAACCCACACTTAAAAGGATCGATTGTCGAAATCATATTCTACGGTACCATTCGCTCTCAATTTGGTGAACCGGGGTACTTGTCGAATCTTTTTTATAACAACACAGTTGTGAAGGACAATATCCTATACTCACTTTTGGACATCTACGTTATAATTGAGAAGACAGGCGCCTCTTCTCAGTTCTACGACAAATTTAACAGCAGATTCTACATTTCCAAGATCATCGAAGAGCTTTGGGAGGATTCGTTCTACAAAAAGCAATTGAGCGACTACGCCAAGAACAAAGTTGAGTTTTTCATTCGTTTCATAGCACGGATGTTGAACGACACGACATACTTATTTGACGAGGCCTTCAATGAGTTGAACAATATTCACAAATTTCAGGTCGAGATGGAGAAACGAGAGTCTGGTGGCGAAAGTAACGAGGAGGTATTTGGGACCACAGAAGAACTTGAGAAAGAGTTGCAGTCCGCAGAAAAGAAAGCCAAGTCTTATATGGGACTCGCAAACCAGACTATGATGCTTTTCAAGTTATTCACGGAGCAGGTACCTGAAGGGTTCACAATACCCGAGCTTGTTGACCGTTTGGCAGGCATGTTGGATTACAATTTGAGCTTGATGGTGGGCCCCAAGTGTTCCAACCTTAAAGTGAAGTCGCCTGAGAACTACGAATTTGATCCGAAGAAGATTCTTGCCGATATTTGCCAAATTTATTGCAATTTGAGTAGACAAGCTGAATTTGTACAGGCAGTGGCCAAGGACGGGAGATCGTTTGACTTTCAGTTATTTGGCAGAGCGAGGGATATTTTGTTGAAGAGGACAGGGACCACACAAGAGAAAATCGACCGGTTCTATGCCTTTGGCGCAGCTGCTGAGAAAGAGAGACTCTTGATCGAGAGACAAGAAGAGGAAATGGGCGAGATTCCTGATGAGTTCCTTGACCCGCTCATGTATACGCTCATGGAAGACCCAGTGATTCTTCCAGGCTCGAGGATTACCATGGACCGATCGACGATCAAGGCGCATTTGCTCAGTGACCCAACGGACCCGTTCAACAGGATGCCGTTGACGCTAGAGGATGTGATAGACGACGTGGAAATGAGGCAGAAGATTCACGATTTCAAGCTCGGGAAAAGGAATGCGTGAGGCCCGTGGTGTCATGGCAAGGGATGTATTGGCCACAGGCGAGCAGCTCTACGGATTATAGGGGAAACAAAAGACCGAGTTGTACAGCTATATTAATACCATGATATTATGTAAGTTTAAGCCTTGAGGGCGTAGACCTTCTTTGGGAAGGCGATTTGTTGCTTTCTGGCCTTGACGGTCACTCTAGCAGCATCCTCCTTGGACAAGGCTCTTCTCAAAGCTCTGGTCTTCTTGGCTCTCAAGTCCTTTGGGAGCAACTTCTTACCGGCGTACAATTCTCTGACGCTTTGTCTTTGGTTGGCGTTGATGACAGTCAAAACTCTGGCGATGTTTCTTCTGACAACGGTGATTTGTGGGACAGCCTTGGTGACCTTTTGGACCTTCAAAGAGGCCAACTCTTGCTTCAACTCAAGCAATTGTTGGTTCAATTGTTCCTCGGACTTGGATCTCAACTCAGCAACTTTAACGACGGCCTATATTTGTTAGTATTTGAGACGGGTGTTTTTCTCGCATCTACGTCTGATCAATTTTGCGCTGGCCACGTTGTCCGAACTAGGAAGGAAGGGCATGAATATGGCAAGTGATGGGCTCTGGGTACGGGTATTTCTGTTCACAAGCCAGAATGGCTTTTGGAAGTGCGCTTGGAGGCCAGGGCTGGCAATATACAGCTTTCAGTGTATCCACATGGAAATGGCCGATGCACATATGATGCGGATATGGTATGCTCGCATATTGGGAGATGGATGGAGCTAGGTTCACAGGCATCATGCGGACAGTGCCCAAGGAGGGGCACTTTTCTATGGCTGCCTAATCTGGAGCGAGACAGCGTTTGGGTCTGACGGACATTCGATGTGTTTTTGTGGCAGCAAAGCTACGTACCATTTTGTATTGTGATTTGGTATGGGGGACTTTCAGACGATGAGAAATGGGACAAAATTTTCAACACCGCACAGCGCCGGAGGAGAGCGCGGCCTGCATGGAAAGCCTGTAGATGCTAGGTGCGGCGACCGGCGGCGTCGTGCGCGTGCCAATTAGGGTACAAGCCCTCGCTGCCTCCGCTGCGAACAGGTGCGTGACTACTTCTCGGGTATTGCAGTCGCGCTGCGGCAGCGAGTCTTGGACTGGCCTGTTGAAATGGACATTTATGGTTGCCTGGGAATTTCTGGGAATTTTCAGGGACAGGCGCTGGGCTTTGGTTTTGTCGTTGTTTTTTTCGAAAGATTGTGGGAAAGCGGGCGCTTTCTGTACATGGGCAGTATATGAATATCGCGTGTTGGCCTTCTACGTGAGTGGAGCGGAGATAAGGCTCGGAGAATACAGGCGCATGTAGAAACGCGAAGAGACCCATCCAAGCGTGCGTTGGCAAGGGCGTATATATTGCCAGGCATGTTTAGTGGACATGTTTAGTGGGCTTTTCTAGTGGGAATTTCTACTGAGTATTCTCAATACGCATCTCTAGTACTTGATATCTCTAATTGACTTTCTTGAAAGCATTTCTAATTTTCAATAAGCATTCTAGTGGGCAGTTCTAATAAGCATTTCTAGTAAGCATTTCTAGTGGGCATTTCTAGTGGGCAGTTCTAGTGGACAGTTCTGGTATACATTTCTAGTGGGCAGCTCTAATGGGCATTTATGAAAAACATTTTTAGTGGGAATTTCCAATAAGCATTCATAAAAAGCATTTCTATTGGGCATCTTTTGTTGGGATTTCTAATAGTCCTTATAAGCATTTCTAGTAAGCGTTTCTAATACACATCTCTAGTGGGGACGTGTAATAAGAATTTCTAGTGGACATTTTTAACGGAAATTCTAAATGGATATTTCTAACCAGCATGTCTAATAAGCTTGTGGGCACGTTTGATAAGCATTCCTAATAATCATTCCTAAAAAGCATTTTTAATAAGCATTTCTAATAAGCATTCCTCAGAAGTAAGAAGCATTTCTAAGAAGAATTTCTAGTGGGCATCTCTGATGGTAGTTTCTTGAAAGCATTTTTAATCTCCAATGAGCCTTTCTAGTGGATATTTCTAATAAGCATTGCCAATGGGCATTTCTAATATGCATTTCTAGTGGACATATCTCATAAGCATTCCTAATAGGCATTTCTGGTGAGCATTTCTAGTGCGCATTCTCAATGGACATTTTTAAGAAGTATCCTAATGGACATTTCTGATGGGCAATTCTAATAAGCTAGTGGGCACATTTGATAAGCATTCCTAATAAGCATTCTTTATAAGCATTCCTAATAAGCATTCCTAATAAGCATTCCTAATAAGCATTCCTAATAAGCATTCCTAATAAGCATTCCTAATAAGCATTCCTAATAAGCATTCCTAATAAGCATTCCTAATAAACATCTCTAATAAACATCTCTAATAAGCATTCCTAATAAGCATTCCTAATAAACATCTCTAATAACATCTCTAATAAACATC